CGGCCAGGACGCCGGACCGGGCCCACCTGGGGGTTTGCCGCCTTGGCCGCCCCTGCAGGCTGATTCCGAGCACTGCTCTCATCGCTCTGTCTCTCTCGCACTCAGGGGGCGTCCCGTAAGGGAGCGAGAGAGACGGCGTCGAAAGCAGTGCTCGGGATGAACCTGCTGCGGCGCTAGGGGCTTATCAGGCGAGTTAATGGCGCCTCGCTTCGCCTCGCCTGGCCGATCCAGCTCATCACGGAGAAGGCCCTGGCCCTGGCGAGGCCGACGAGGCCCTGGCCAGCTTTACCCTGCCGGCGCCGCTCCGCCACGTATTCCTTTTGCCCTCCGGCACTCTAAATTAGTTTTCGGTCCGGGCAATCCCGCCCCGCCTCGCCCTGCGTGAGCCGCTCCCCGTGCTGCCCACCCCCACCGCCTCCCCCACCCCCGCCCCCCGAGGCGAGCCGGGGGTTGCTATCCCGGACCCTCACCTCTTCGCGCGCGCACTCTAGCGACCCATTTCCGCGTTGGCCGTGCTCCCCGTGGTGCTGTCCGCTGGAGCCCCCCGTCGAGGCCGCGCGCTGCCTTTTTTTGGCCAGCCAGCCCCCTGGAGACGGCCCAGCAGTGGGCGCGTCCGCGGGGACCTCGTTGGCCGCCGTGGCGGACGTCGACGGCTTTTCGGCGCGGCTGTACGCGTTATTTGTGAAGGATGGCGTCCGGAGCGCGCGGGGACCGGGGACGGCCGCGGTGCCTGCGTGGCGGCAGGCCTTGTCCGGGAAAGGTCGCCCGGCTGTGCAGCAGGCGTCTCCTCTAGTGGTGCGCCATACGGGCCGTGACCTTCACCTAGCCCCCTTGCCTTTCCCGCCCCTTGCCTTGCCTATCACTGCCGGCCCCTGCTGCGAGCTGCGACCCCTGCCCGCCCGGCCGCCCGGCCGCCCGGCCGCCCCGATGCATCTTTTAACGTCCCGCCTTGTTCATGCGGCCTGTGATGATTTATTCAGGCGGCCAGCCTGGCGGCTGTCTTGTCCACGCGCGGAGCACGCCGAGCACGCCGTCGACGCCCCGCGGCCTTGGCGGTCGTGACCTCCTGACCTGGCGGCGCCGCTCCGCTTCATCATGTCCACCCTACCGCCTCGCCGCCTCGCCGCCACGCCGCCGCGGTGGCCGGAGGCGGGGGTTGGAGTTGGACGCGTGGGTGTCGTTGTTTTCTCTACCGCGGCGCGCTGACTCGGCACACCCACTGCGAAACGCCAACGCCAACGCCAAAAATATGGCTGCGTCGCCCGCGGCGTCGCCCGCCACCAGAAGCCCCGCCCCGCCCCGCGACTTTTCTTCACCGAACGGTGCGCCGCTCCGGTTTCGCGCCCGCCGCGCGCTGGCGTCGCGGAAGTCCGATTGAGTGAAATCAGCTGAATGAATCTGTCGCAATGGTATCGCCAGCGCGCTGCCTGCCTGCTCGCTGCGCGCGGCTCCGTTCACGGGCGCCCGCTTTGTGTGCGTGCTAGCGGGGGGCTTTGCCTCGCCCCGACGAGTGGCCGAGGGAGGTACCCGTCGTCGCCACCCCCAACCCGACAAAGGGACGCGGAACGCCTGGAACGCCCGGGACGCCCACCCGCCTGGGCCAACAGTGGGCCAGCAAGCCAGCCAGCAGCGGGCCGCGCCGCCACCCACCACAACGACCAGCCCGACCAGCCTCACAGTGCTGTGCGAGGGCTATCGAACGCGCAGCGCGGAGCGCGGAGCGCGCGGGAATGGGGGTGCCGGGGCACGAACTCCAGCACGTCTCCTAGGCCACCTCCAGCGACCCCGTCGAGCGTCCGTCTTTGCTGGAAGACCGCCAGTGCTGTGGACTGGTGGCTGAGGTCGCGAGGCCCGCATTGCACCCTCACCCTCCTCGACGCGGGCAGTCAGTAGTTCACCTCGCCTGGCGGCACCTCCATCTGCCCCGCCGTGCCCTCATCACTCGCATCCGCTGCACGACGTGGCGGCGCCTGTTCCTAAGCGGAAGCCCCCCCCCCCCTTTCCTACTGGCTGCATCACCTGCAGTTGACGGGGAGGGGCGCACGGCCTCGCGCCCTGCCTAGCCCCGCCTGGCTGGCCCTGCCGCCAGTGCTCCGGGTGAGGGGTGGGGAGGTTACGGTGGGGTGGCTCGTGGCGTGGAGGTGGCAGGCAGCTCCACGACTGTGCGCTGCTGTGCTGCCAGTGCTGCGCGCATGGCGCCGCCCGACCGAATCCCTGTGCCGAGCCAAGCGATTCCGAGAGAGCGTTCGCCGCGCAGTCTCTCTCGCACTCATGGGGCGTGCCGTAGGGGCGCGAGAGAGACAGGTCCTTCGCAATCGCTCGGCAGGGCACAGCCACGGGGAAAGGCACCAGAGCGCGCTCGAGTGCCATACTCTCCGCGTCCAGTCAGCTTTCTAGGGACCGCGCGGCGACCGGGGTTGTCTAAACACCGCCGCCGCCTCCCCGCTGCCCCGCGTGCCTGTCTCTCTTTCTCGCTCTCGCGTCCGATTCCGCGAAGACGTTGGTGTGTAATAAACCTACATACCGCCGCCGCCGCATCGGCTGCTGAGACGACCGTTTTCGCAGTTTGGTTGGTGCGACTCTCTCGGAATGGTTTGGGTGTTTTTGCATTCGACCGGCTATCTAGGGTAGCGGGCCGCGCGGCGATGGCGGCGTCCCCTCGGCCGGGGAGGGCCACCAGACCAGGCCGGGCGGCGTTCTATCTCTCTCTCTCTCGGCCGCGGATTTCCCACGGGTGCCTCTGCACAGCTTGGCGCAAGTAATGTTGCCGATGCGCACCGTTTTTCCGCGCTGGCCGCCGCCATGCCGCCACCGCCGTGGCCCGGCCGCCCGGCCGTCGAGTCGCAATGCAAGTTTCATTGGCATCGGAGAACAAGGAGGTTGGGGGGAGGGAGGGGAAAGAAGGGAATTGCGCAAAAGTTTGCGCAGCGCCGCGTGCTATTCATAAATTTCCCTTGTAAAAACTGAAGTCCCTTGTAAACCGTCAGGTACTCTGTAAAACGTGCCGTCCCCGGTAAAACGTGATGTCCCTTGTGAAATATAAGGTCCCCTGTAGTATATCCTAAGGTTTCTTGTAGAAGCTAAGGTTTCTTGTAGAACCGAAGGTATCTTGTACAACCTGCGCTGCGTGGCGCTGCGCAGCGCTGCGCAGGGCAAGAGGGGATTTGCTACCGATTTTGGGCAGGCTATGCGGCGACGGAGCGACGGATGGGGCCGGGCCGCGGGCCGGACGGCAGCACTGCAGCGTAGCGTGAGGCACGTCTTGTTGTGGCTGAGTCAGCGGAGCTGCACGCCCGGCAGTGGCGTGGCGTGGCGCGCCCCGATATCGCGCGGCATTGTTCCCGGGGGCGGCTCATGTGCAGCCCGGCGGGCATGCCGTCCTCAGGCCCGGCCCCAGGCCCGGCCCCAGGCCCCCAGGCTCGCTGACCGGGCGGCACCGCGCAAACACACATACATGCCTGCTGCCCGCTAGTCGACTAGTCGATCTTCGGAATGGACGAACGCGAACACTGACTGATTGGCGCGGTGGAACGGAACGCACACGGCTCGGAACGGTAGCGGCACGACACAGACGGTTATCTGGAGAGAGATGCGTGAGTGTCGGCGTCGACCTTGCCGCGTGCGGCCGCTGTCCGCGAGTTACGTCACGCTTGCACTGATGCTGCGGCGCGGCGGTTACCCACGCGCGAGGCGCGAGGCGCGAGACGGTGCAGCGCGTGCATGTGGGCCCGCCGCGCCGCCGCGAGGCCTGCACGGCAAGGCCCCCGTGTTTGTTGTATTGACGCTCCGCGTGTGCCTGAGTGGGCCCAGCTCGGCCAGCTCACAGTGGGCCAGAAGACCGGCGGAGGCGGCCAAAACCCTAGGCGCGTTTTGAGCTCCAGAGTCGCTAAGCAGGACTCGAACCGAACGTGTGACCCCACCATTGGATTGCTCTCCGAACGAGGAATCCAATGGTGGGGTCACACGTTCGGTTCGAGTCCCATTTAGCGACTCTGGAGCTCAAAACGCGTCTAGAGTTTTGGCCGCCGCCGGTCTTCTGGCCCACTGTACAGCTCCAGACCCCACGAGGTTCAAGAGGCGGCCAGGCAGGGGGCGGGGTGGGCCACCCGCCGCACAAGCCGTGCGGACCCTCCATGGCCGGGGCTCCAGATTTAAGGTCCCCCCGTCGCCTAAACGACGGAAGTTCACAAGGTGGGTCGATTCAGAGGCCGAACCCAACTTCGGGATTAAGCTGCCCTCTTGCCGGGGACGAAAACGAAGTCGGAGCCCATTCGTTCCGCGCGCGAGCTCCCGCAGCTTCACCTGGGAGCCGACGCGGCCCCCGACCCCGACGATGGACGACGACGGCGGCCTGCTGGGCTGCCAGTGTCAGTGCCTCTGGCCGGCCTGGTCAACGACGGGCGGGCGGAAGCACACTACATGTCGTTCTCCCGGAGGAATTCATTCCCTCGCGTTGGCTGCGTGTCGCGTGACTGGCACGGCACGCCGTTCGGCACGGCCCACACAGTGCGCCTGCCCGGCCTGCCACACGCCAGCCGCCTTAATGGACGCTCAGGGCGTGGCGACGGACGGCGCGGTGCCTGCGGTGCGGTGGTGCCCGCCGCCTGCATACGCCCAGCAGGCTTTCGCTGCGTCTCTCTCTCTCCCACTTGTGAGGCGTCCCGATGGGGTGCGAGAGAGACAGAGCGACGAAGCACTTTCGGAACCGCCTTGCTGGCGTGATGAGGGGCGCGCGGCGCGGCGTGGCGTGGCGTGGCGGGCCTTCCGTCGCCTACCTTTTAGCGGCACACACACTACCGCGCGCTGAGCACACTCATTGGCAACACTCACGCGCGTGTAAGTGTGTGTGCGTGTGTGCGCGTGTGTGCGCGCGCACAGAGGATAATAAACGGAATCGAATCAGCCGCCCTCGTGCGGCTTTGTTCTCTGAGTGGTGTCCGTCCCGTCCGGCGCATGCAGACCTGGCCGTTTTTTGACGCTTGCTTTCGCTCTGCCCGCAGGGATGTGCGCGACGCTCCACGTCCTGTGGAGCCTGGTGTACATCGGGTGCGGCGCCATCCAGCTGGTGGTGGGCATCTTCTTCCTGGCCGCCAACCCCAAGTTCGAGACGCCGTTCCTCCGCCTGGGCTCCAACGTGGTCACGGGAGGATGGGTAAGTCGACGCGGTCGCAAGGTAAACTCGGGCGTCTCCGTCGCACGGTAAAAGTGCCGCCTTGGGAATGCGATTTCATGGCGGCAATTTTACCGGCGGTATTTTGATATTTGACCGCGAATCTGTGGTTCCAGAACGTGGTGGTGGGTGTGAGCGGCGCGCTGGTGGCGTGCGTGGGGCCCATGTCCTCACCAGGCCGGCACGAGGCGCTGCTGTACCTGGCCATCAGCGTGCTGGCCTTCAACGCCGTCAACCTGGCCGTGCTGGAGCTGGTCGAGTGGAAGATGCTCTTCACCCCGGAGCACGTTGAGTACGCCGAGCGGCAGAAGATTACCGAGCTGCTTATGTATGGTAAGAGCGCCGCTTTCGGAAAAACGGACAAAACGGTTTGAAAGTGACTTAAATTAAATCAAGAGGATGAACTTGGCGCGACCCGGCGCATTTGTCTGCCCGCAGCACACCTCAGCACGAGCGCGGCCGCCGCCATCGCCATGGTGGTGGCGTTCCTGGACTCGCAGCTCACGTTCTGCTCGCTGCAGCACGCCGTCAAGCGCCGCCTGCAGCGCCGCCGCTCCGTCAACAAGGCCCACAGCCACCACGGGCACCACGGCCACCACCACCACGACCACAGCGCGGACAGCGAGTACATCATCCTGCCGCGCGTGCGGCCCTCCACCAAGGGCGGCTACGAGCAGTACACGCGCTCCTGGGTCTTCGACGTGGACGGCAACGGCCCGAACGGCGCCGGCGGAGGCGGGGGCGGTAGTGGCGGTGCCGGCAACTCCAGCGCGCGCTACCAGCAGCTAGACAGCCACAGCCACGCCGACAAGTGCAGGGATGCGGCGGCCGCGGCCGTGGCCGCTGCCGAGGGCAGGTCCGCGTCGAGCAGGTCCTCGTCGCAGCGCGGCGATACGTACACGATCGCGGACGTGAAGGCCCTGCGCACGGCCATCGCCAACGGGTGCCCGCCGCCCGACTCGTCGCCCGGCCAGGGCGGGCCCAGCGGCAGCAAGCAGTACAACCGGCAGCAGAAGCACAAGGAGCTGATGCGCGAGCGCGAGCACCAGAAGCAGTTGCGGGAGCAGCAGCAGTTCCAGCAGAGGCAGCAGCGCGGCGACGGCGGCGGCCGCCAACGGCCCAGCTCCACCGGCTCGGCGGCCAGCTCTACCGGCGCCGGAGGGGCGTCGCCCGCCACGCGCCACCACGCCCCGCAGCAGCAGCAGCACGCCGCGCACGCCGCCAAGGCGCAGCCCGTCCCCGTCATCGAGGAGAGCCCGCCCAGCGGCAGGAGCCCCGACAGCCCCGCCGTGGACAGCGAGGAGAGCCGCAGCCCCGACAGCGGCGAGCAGGCCGAGCAGGAAGGGGTAAGTTGGGGCTGGCGGGCCGGGCGGCAGGCTGCCAGGCAGGCTGCCCGCTCGCCTGCCGCACTGTGTGTGTGTTCGTCGTGTTGTCCTGGGTGGATGGAAGGAACCGCAACTCGCCGCTGTGTGGGGCACTGGCCGCGAGAGTTGTGTTTGTGACTTCGAAATTGAGGGCACAGCAAAAATGTCATGGGGTGGACTGCTTGCTAGGACGCCTGGAGCGCCTGCGAGGTAGGCCACCGGTCCATCCCGCAACACACAGCTGTGGAGACGGTGGCCCAGGTCGCCCCTTGCAGACGACAGGGGCCGGGTAGGCAACCGTCTTCACACCGCTGTGTTGCGAGGCGGATCGGTGGCCTACCTCGCAGGCGCTCCAGGACCCCAGCCCCCCCGACTGAAACGGTGTGCGAGACGGCCTGCCAAACGGCCTGCCAAACGGCTTCAACTTCGTGGCCACAAACACGGACGTGCTGCAGGCTGCCCGCGGCGTCTCGCGCCGCTCGAGTTGCCGGTGCCTTGGTTCTGGGTTCGGAGATTTGGGGTTTGCTGCTGCAGTGGGCTCTCGTCGAGGCCCCGGTCTTTGGTGGTGCAGCCGTCAACCGTGCTTCTTTGGGTTGCCATGGTGACGTGCTCGACGTGCTCGACGTGCACCCGTGTCGTGGCACGAGGCGGCGACGCGGCGACGCGACACGACAGTGTAGTGACGCGTCTGCTCGCGCCAACGCGCGCGCGCCCCGGGCCGCGATTCCACGGAATCCCCTTCAGACGGGTGTCGGGTTGCCATTAATCACAGTAAACATTGCAAAAAAAAAGAAAATTAAAAAAAAATTTAAAAAATGCGTGGAACCGAACAAGGTAGCAAAGTAAAGCGAAAGTAGACAATTGATACATTAAAATTAAGTGTCGTATTTTGTGTGCTGTAACATGTTACAAAGCCCCGATGTAGATATAAAATTTGGAAGCCGTAATCGGTTTTAGTGTAATTTGTCGGTACAGTTTGAGAACTTTGGCGTAGCCGTTGCTACTTTATATATATCCCCGTAGATTAGACTTGTTTGTTAGAGCTATAAGCGTAATTAATCGTTAATTAATTAGTTAACCAGGGGAAACTGTCAGCCATCCCCGCTCACAATCAGCCTCCCCACCAATTTTCGGCCAACAGGCAGACATTACTTTGTGCAAATGTGCAAACGCAATGATGGAGTGAAGTCACCAATGACCGACTAGGAGAAATCTTGTGGGCAAAGCAAAGCTGACCCAGTCCAGACGTGTCCGTGCCCGGTGCTCATCCAGGCGTGTTGTGTTACAGTGGAGGAGTCCGCGCCTAGGCGGCTCTGGCCGGGGCATTGGCGGCATTGGCGGCATTGGCCACCGGATAGGGGCGCGTTTTGGCGGCCGCTTCGGGGACCGCTTCGGGGGTCGCTTTGTGTTTCTGGGCACGAGCTCGGACGAGGACGGGCTGAGAACCACAATCGTCTAACCTAAGTAGCGACTAACGCTGCCTGCGAGAGGCTTTCGGAGCTTCAATACTACTAACTCTTACTAACACGTTCTTTGAGCATGCCCGGGGGACCGACTCGAGAGACACGATTTCTTCGACGCGTCGTCATTGGTCGCTTCTCGCCATGGAACCCACATTCATTCTCTGCGTCCCCCCGGGACGACTTACCGGACTTTCTCGCCAACTCTTGGCCGTTTTCGTCCGTTTCGGACTTGAAATTGAATTTGAAGCGAGCGCACTGTGTCCGAAGCCTCCCCCCACCCCTTCGACCCGCCCCCGCTGACTGCTTCTTCGCCGCTTTGCCAACGCCGAGTGCCAAACTGCCAAACCGCGAAACCGCATGCCGCTGCATGGCGACCTGTCCTCTGCATGCGACCCGCCCCCCTCCCCCCGCCAGGCCCGCCTGCCTCCCTGGAGCGCGCGGCCCACGCTCTGCCCCTCGTTGACGTCTTCCGAGAACTACCCCCACCTATGACCCCCTTCCCCCTTTCCTTCCCGCCCCTTGCGCATCCCAGTTCGTGAGTGCCCGTCGTAATTCACAATGGCTGTCTCTCTCTCTGCGCTCCGCGCTCCGCCCGCTCGCGTCCCTCCGCGTCCAGCATTCCCGGATGCCTTTCTGTCGCCCTTCCAGATTCCCCACCCATTCCTCTCCGCCCCTCCCCTCCTTCCTCCCCCTCCCCTCCTTCCTCCGCCTCCCCCCTCAACCCACTCCCCTCCCCCGCAGCACACCGCCCTGCGCCACCCACCCCTGCATAATGCCCTTCGCGCTAGGAAAGAGAATAGGAAAAAAATAAAATAGACACGATCTAGACCAGTAGTACTTGAAACGCGTTTAGTGCGGAGTTTGCTCCGCAAATAGCTGCAGCTCAAATTCAAATTTTTCGCGAGAGAGAAAAAGAAAACAGATGCAAAATTTAAAGAGCGCGGATTGTTGACGGTTGCAAATTTGGACACCCACTTTAGCGTGATCAGACTGACACTCTGGCTTTCCCCCATCCCCCTGGCTTCCTCTCATGGCGCGTGCGACGCGTGCGACGCGTGCGTGTGACACGGCGCGACACGACACGGGCTCCCACGCACACCACGCCGCGTCGCATCTGGCATCGCCTCGTGGCACGGCACGGCAACGCACGGCGACGCACGGCAGCGCACGGCAGGGCACGGCAGGGCACGCTTGTCTGGCGAAAGGGCTTGGCGGCTGCATGGCGGCAGCATGGCGGCAGCAGGGTGCTGTCCGCGCCGCGTGGAGGCCGTGCAGGCCGTGCTGGACCGCGACATGGCCGCCCCCCGCACCAGGCTGCTCCAGGCTGCTCCAGGCTGCTCCAGGCTCAGCTTGTTGTTGGTGCGCTGTTGCGCTGCTCCAGGCTGGCCACGGCTCCCGCCCCGGCCACGGCAGCCACGGCAGCCGCGGCAGCCAGGGCAACTGCCAGGCGTACGGCGTGCCGTCCCGGGGCAGCACGGGCCGCATGCGCCCGCTGCGCATCGTCATAGACGCCGGCTCCAACGACCCCGTGGCGTCGCGGCAGTGCGTCTTCCTGCAGACGTTCTCCCGCACGCCGTCGCCCGGCGCCTCACCCGCGCACTCGCCCTGCCCGCCCCGGCCGTCCGCGCCGGCCCCGGGCCAGCTGCCCGGCCTGCCCGGCCCCGCGCAGTTCTCCGGCCGCGGGCTGAGCTCGCCCGCCGACGAGGACGCCGGGGACCCGCCGCTGGCCGAGTGCCTGGACCGCCTGGCCCGGGGCTCGGGCCCGCGGCGCCCCAGCAACCAGGACTACGTCTCGCCCCGGACCTCGCCAAAGGCCTCGCCCACTTCCAGCTCCGCCAGGCCGAGGCCGCCGCGGCCGAGCAGCGCGGGCTCCGGCTCCGAACAGGTAGTCGCGTGGCTGCCACGAGCTTGGCGTAGAGTGACGTAGTGTGACGTAGTGTGTCCTAGAGTGACGTAGCAGCGTAGCGACGTAGCGGCTGTGCATGGTGATGTTGGTGTCCGTGTTCCGCAGAGTCCTAAATGGCCCGAACTTGCCTGACACGCCCCCTTTCTGCGCAGGCTGGCTACCACTCGCTCATGAGCGAGCTGACGCAGGTGATCCGGAAGAAGCCCAGCCCCAAGGACGACACTTCGTCCGCCGACTTCAACCGCGAGCTGGAGGCCGCGCTGCAGGACATCCACGACCTGGACTCGTCCACGGGGGGCACGCTGGTGGCGTCGTCCGCCGCCAGCAGCTCGGCAGCGCCGCCCCCGCCCGCCCCCGACTGGGGCGACAGCGACGACGAGAGCAGCGCGTCGAGCCGGACCGTCGGTAAGCGTCGCTCGCACCCGCGGCTGGGGCGCGCCTTCGCGATCCCCGTGCCGCCCCCGGTGCCGCCCCCGCACGCCGGCGGTACGCTGCGAGGCACGCTGCGCTCCACGCAGACGGGTACCTTGACGAGCACGCTGCGGCGCCAGTGGGACCGCGAGTGGCAGCAACAGCAGCAGCAAGACCACCGGGAGGAACAGCAGGAGCAGCAGCGTGTCTTGACGCGCACGCCGTCCCCAGAGCTGCCCCCACCGCCTCCACCGCCCCCGGTCCCGCACTCCCCCGTGCGAAGCAAGACGGTCGTGACCATCTGCGACGGCGACATGGTCGTCAGGGAGATGAACAATAACGACGTCATGTTGGTGCCCGTGGTGATGCCTCCCGAGCTCCACGAGCTCGACGCCCCCGTCCTGGTGCTGGGCGCTGGTGGCGCTGGTGGCGCTGGCCCCGGGAGGGACACGCCGTCGCCGCCCCCGTCCCCAACCCCTTCCCCGTCCCGCTCCCTCTCCCCCGAGGCACCACTGCCCCCGCCCCCGGTGACTGTGGACCCTGCCGTCGAGGACGACGTCGACGAGCGGGTTGGCCAGGGCTGCTCCATGGGCAGCGTGGGCCGCCTGGGCGGACTGTCCCTGCTCCGCAAGGGCAAGACCCGGCGGAGGGCCAGCAACGGCTGTGCCGTGCGGCTGAGCCAGGAGCTGCAGGGCGCCGTGCTGCAGTCCGAGAGTCTAGTGTTCCTTAGCGACAGCGAGCTGGTGGCGAGGCACGAGAGGAACCGCCGCGTGCAGCGGGTAAGACAGAGACGGAAAGACGAAAAGAATCAGAACTCAACTCGCCTCATTTTCATCTCGACTAACCGCTCTAACTGTCGTCTAAACGTCACTGTCTGGTCATTCCTCCACGACTCTGTCCGCGTATTGCGAAATGCAACTCCTGCTCTAGTGTTACGTAATATCAGGACACGTCCTCTTCCCCTATACCTTTTCTCTGGATCCTCCCTTTTCGAGCCGCGCCGTTCCAGAACCACCCCTCCACCCGACACGTGCAGCTCACATCCCCCGCGTCATCCACCTCTTCACCCACTTGGTTTTCTGGCGCACAGCAATGCAAGAACAGGGCGGGCCACGAACTCATGACGTTTCTTGCTCTTTGTGCGCCGACAGGGCAAATTGTCGTCCGGGACTGCCTCGCCTCGCCTAGGCCAGCCTAGGCCTCGGTCAGGCGGGCAGGCAGTCTTGGATCACAGCTCTGCTTGTGGGAATGCACAGCTAAGAAATTAACAAGAGACCGTGGGCTGCACTGTGGTACTTGATCATGTCTGCTTCTTTTCTGCTTTCTTTTAACTATTTTTATTTAATTTGCTTTTCTGAGTCGCAGTGCCTGTTTTCAAACGTTTCACTTCCAATCTCTTTCTCTGTTTCAGGAAATTGAGCAACGAGTCCAGCAGCAGATATCGGGACACTCTGGAGGAGACTCGCTCTGTTAGGGTCGACCTGAAATCAAGATGAGATTCGGTGCCATATCCCTTTATGCTAGTCCAGATTTATTTGTGTATGGCCTTATATTTGGGTCATACTGTGTCATCTTATTAATTTAAAATGCAGTGATAGTGACTTTCTGCCAAAAATTATGTTTAAATCATCAGTATTTCAAAATGTGAGGCTTCCTTCAGAAGACTGAGTTTGAAAGCTTCATTGTGGATTTTAAATGCTCACTCGGTCGAGCATTTACTGTATATTCTACTATTAAGTTGATGCAATGATTTCATGAGATTTGAGTAGTTAGACCAAAGGGCTTTTACGCCCCAAAAATAAATTTTCCATCCTATGAATCCATTTTTTGTTGTTGTGAAATATTGATTCATTGACTGGATTTCCTAGTGAATGATTAAAGGAATGTATAGTATGATTTTCTTTTTGTTAATTTAAGTAAGAGAAAGACATGTTAAGACTATACAATTTGTGCCTATTGTTTGTGAACTTTCAATTCCTGGGCTGAACAGGTCTACTTCAGAAACTGTTCTAACTGGTCATTAGTTAGTCTTTTCATCTATAACTTTTTCTTTGGTTGGTTTCTAATTCATAAAAATAAAGATCTTTAAGCAGTATTAGAACCGAGCTAGGGAACACATTCCATTTCAGAGTTTACAGTTGGTCAAACACTTCTGTTTTCTAGAAGGAAATAAGCCCCAGCTGAAACATGAGTGATTCAAAGAGTGCTTTCAAGCAAATCTGAGTCAAATAGGTCAGAATATCGCCATACTCCAGTGATTGAAGGGTTTGTGTTCAATAATGAAGCATGCGCTGTGGAGGGATGGGGCCAAAAAGTGGAGTGTTTTGATAAAGATAAAAAGAGCATTGTGATACCTGCTAGTCTCCACATGTTAGCGATTATCTATTGCCTTCAAAACTGTGAAAAGCCAAAATGGTTAACTGTTATGAAATTCTTGAATTAAATTATGTGTGTTAATCCGTAGGTGATAATTTTTCATTGATAAGCCGTATCTGTAACAACGTCTTAGCACCAACACAAACCAAACACAAGTCAGAAGAGGATATTTTAAAACCAACACAGGTCAAGTCATCCAGTCAATATATAATTACAAAATAATGACTATTGAGGCCGCGAGGCCCAGTCCCAAAAATTCAGCAATATTTCTTTAGCTGTTTCCTTCTACTTTCTGTGAATTCAAACACAAATGTGAAACACAGTTACTTATTTTGGCTTCTTCTACGATGTAATTCATTTAAATCTTAAATGTGCCAACTACAAATGATCTATATTTATGACTCTGTACAATATGTATAATATTGAAACTATTAAATGAATCTAGATTTTTTTAAAGTTGCCATTTCCTTTTTTTTACAACCAATACAAACAGAAAACATATAAAGAAATTTATTGCACAGTGTACTGTACGAATGAGCTTTCTGACAAACTCTGCAGATGAGAAGGATGAGGCACTCTGAGGACTCTAGGCACCTGGGGAGAAGGTCAATTTAAATTAACCAGTAAGGTGAATAAATTGAAAATGGTTTAATTTATTCAGCAGAAAACACTAACTCCACTAGTTCAAGTTGCAATCACACAGATATATACAGACTCATGATTTCTGCAAAAGGACGTAAGGGAATGTGTGAAATCTGGGACATACTACAGGAAAAAATCAAAGGAAAGAACTTTGCAGTTTTTTGAAACAGTGTTCAAAGTACCTAGCTGCCACATGTAAAGAAAAACAACACTAAATTTGTTTCACGAAGACACATTACAGTTTAGAAAGTTAAATTAACTACTAACACCAACAGATATTTTTAAATTTAGAGCCTGTAAAAAGACAGGAGACCTAACATGAAAATAATGTCTAATTGGACTGTATAAAACTTACAAAGTCCTATAATTCTAGCAATAAGACAATAACCAAAATACTTTTGTAATGTTACTTTAAAATTTGAGTTTATCTCATTCCCAAGAAGGGTGGTCCTCCAGAATACAAGCAGGCGGCAGACCTAACATCATTCTCTCTTCACAGTCAAACATTCACAAGTATGCAATTAGATTGAAACACATAATAAAGTATTCTAAAGCTTTTACATAAACAATGAAGCAGTTTAAGCCTTTAATTTCAACCATCAGTTTCATGATGAGGATGTACAGAAAATACAGCCTTGGAAACCTTCACAGTATTTCATTTTCAGTTCTTTTACCATCATCATTTCTAGCACTCAAGGTCATAAGATTATCTTATGAAAACATATTAACATGCCTATCGCTTCTTACACCTAAGTCTTTCAACAAATATTAGTCTTCAACACTATGCACAAAAACAAAGGGTATTAACCCAAGCACATAAAAGCACCACTGCAGTACAGTAAATCCAAGCAAATGTTATGCAATTAAATAAACAAATACATATTCACAAGAAAATAGAAACAAAGAGGCCGCAAGCCTTTGTCTGATGCAAGAGTTCAATGAAAAAGAGCAAAGACGGGGTGATGCAACAATGTTCAAAATCATTCACATGGTAAAAATGACAGCTTTGAGACTTGAACAGAATGTTGTGATTGTACTGTACATCTATATTTACAAAAGACTTAAAATTATGCAAACTAGAAATGAGAGAAAGGCAGGGCAAATGAAAGAGGCAGTTTGTTAAACTGTAGCGAATTGTAGAACAAACACAAAGGGCCCAATATAAAGTTGACAGGTTGTGCATCCAGCGACTCAAAGTTCTCCTCTGTTTACAAAAGTCGAAATACAAAAAAAGGGCAACTTGAGCACTAATTACACCCTAGACATGGTGTGATATGATTGGCAGTATAATAATTAAGGTAGGTATCCAAAGAATTGCTGCTAACAAACCTTAAATCCAATGCTTAATGTGGGGTATAGTTTACAGGAGCTAACAGGTATTTTGACATATAAATGATAAGAAAAACACCACATAATGCATGGGTACATAATGGGAGGGCAGTCTATAATCAGATGAAAACATTGGCATTACTCCCATGTAGGCACAAGACGATATCGGAAGAAGAAGAGAATCAATCTTGGAAACAAGTCACATGGGACATCAAGTGTGTTTGCACTTCATTGTGTTTGGCAACACAACTATGATATTTTCTTACTAATTAATGATACATGTAACTCTACACAATTACAAATTTGTGAATTTGCAGTTTCACGTAAATTCATGAACTGATAACTAATTTGTCCAATAATTACAAATTTTAAAACAAGGAGTTAAAAGGGTTGCTATCCAAATTTACAGCAAATCAAAACAGAGGAATACACATTCCAGAAAGGTAACAAAATTCTACAAAACAATGGCAATACACATTGATGTAACACAGTTTGAGGAAAATTCAAGACAATGTGTGAAAGGGCAGTAATTTATCATATCAAAAAGGAAGTATACCAAGTACAGTGTAGAGATACAAGAAAACAATATTAATAGTGCGGAAGATTTTGGTTTTCTTCAAACAACATTTCAAAAAGCAATCAATCCAGTCCTCGACTGAGTCCCAGCAAAACGATGCCAACAATACTTAACAAATTGGTTAAACGTAAAAGTTCAAGATTCGCATTACACACATGTAGTCACAGTGTACAAAAATGTAGAGAAAGTCTAACAACAAACTTAACCACGTTCAGTATAAAACCTATATAAAAACATTAAAAGAAAAACAAACAAAAAACAATACAGTTCATTCCCTTATCCTTTTATCAGGATGTCTCATCTTTCTGTAAAGTCAAAATGAGCTGTGCTGCAAAATTTGATCAAGAGTGTAGTTGTAATGTGAAAGATTACCAATGTCCAACATCAAAATACAAACATATGGCCAATTATATTACAGAAAGATAGAAAAAGATAAGACATTTTGTCATGAACAATACTTTGGATGAACTGTGTAGTGCCATATACAAAATCAATGAATTAAGTATAGTTTTATATCAGCGGTTACTTTCTTATACACTTACTACAAATTAAGTTGCTTACAGTACTATCACAAATTATACACAAGTTAATAATAAAAAAAAAATAATTACAGTGATTGAAATGGTTGGTCACGGACCTAAAACCAAAAAGACACTAAAGATTTTTTTAAATTACAAAAAGCAGTTAAAGGGTTGTGCAAGTCTTCTCAAATTTGGGTTGGAAATCAAAGTCTCAATAAATGGTAGTTCGATTCCTTCCTGACGATATCAATACTGAAGTGGTTGAGCTGCATTCTGATCCATTTTGTATTTTAGGTCTTGCAATTGGTTCAATCATAAAATGCACAGGAAGAAAGGCTTGACCCAGAGGTTTAGACTAGACTTAAAGAAATGATGCAATCCAAGCATTATTGACCCACAACCCTTTTGAGTTAACATAACCTGATTGCAATAACAAAAAAAACAAAGAAAAAAAAAACAAAAAAAAACAAGACAGACGTAATGTACAGTTCTGACGGCTATCATCAATTTATAAAGTAATATCTACACACTCACAAAATGTACTGACTTGTCATCAAAATTATCATCATAAAACTGGCCAAATTGAAGGTTTAAAACCAAGTAAGTTATGAAATTGTAATAAAGTATTATAGAAAATTTACAAGCCAAAAGAGGGCAAAAGAGTTTTGAGTAACTACAATAAATATTCAGAGACAAACAAGAGCAAAAATTCTTAAAACGCATATCTTGCATTCAATGACAACCAATACAATTTTGAGCTATTCATGCTGAGGTGTAGATGCATGAATAATTATTCAATACAGAGTCATAGTCTTATCAGTACATATGTGGTAACTTAAACTTAGCCCTAAGAAATAAAGGACTTGATGTTTCAGTGCTTATATAATATTATTTGATGGGATATTGAAGTTACTTAAAGTCTTCTTTACTCTTAAGGCTGTCAACCGAGCAGCTGCATTTTGATACCAGCATTCTTTCATCACCTTGGACATTCCAGACAATGCCTGCAATTAAATCAGATGTGTAAGTTTCAGTAGTGGAACAAATTTTTGGATGCCTCTGTTTTCTGATTCCAAAGGAAAACTTAAACAAAGACTCTGTCGATGCCTACCTCACAAGCCTGCCACCTATTGGGTATAGATGGACGTTGGCTGTCGGTGCATACCACCTTGCGCATTTCTTCAATGGTTGGATCTGAGGGAACCATATCATAGAAAGGGAGCTGATACTCATCATAAATACCCCCCACATTACATCTGCGGGCAATTTCCCAGAAAACAAGTCCCATAGCGTAAACATCAGCCCTTTTGAAAGAATCAAAGTGATTCATATTGATAGTATCATCTAGGACCTCTGGAGCCATGTATCGCTTGGTACCAACACGATTATTTAGTGGAATGTCTACTCTGTCAGTGGTTACATCATAGCGGACAGCAAGCCCCAGATCCCCAATGGCACATGTACCATTTGTCTTCACCAATATGTTTTTGGACTTCAGATCTCGATGGGCAATAGCAGGTTTACCTGTTAAACAAAAAAAGCAGGTAAAACCTTATTCATCAATCATTCCAATTTCTGAAGGGCAATATAGCACAGTATAGAAAGTACTTACCCTGAGTGCCAACAATTTCCATGTGCAAATGAGCAAGGCCAGTGGCAATAGAAAGAGCCATGCGTATCATTCCAGCAACATCAACTGTGTTTCGGTAAAGGTAGTCAAATAATGATCCATATTCATGATAGTCAGTGATGAGCCAAAGCTGAGTCCATGTTCCATTATCTATAAAATATGAAACGTGTTAATTTAGATTTAAGGATCACATAAGGTTTTGATTTTAAGTATTTTTATGCTAGTTAGACGTACCTTTGTTGTCAGCTGCAATAAAACCTAAAATATTGTCATGCCTCAGCATAACAGTTTGGTAGATTTCTGCTTCACGGAACCAAGAGCGCTCTTCCCTAGAAGAAAATATTTTAACTGCAACATTTTCTCCACGCCAGCGTCCCCGCCATACTTCACCAAACCGTCCTTTGCCAATACTATCGGCTAACTGGATTTGACGTGCAATGCTCCTTTGAACAAGAAGTGGTAAACCTGCAAGGTTTGTAAATATGAGTAAAATGTAAAGTATACAAACATTATTGACTAGGTGTTGAAATATAAAGTAAATGTTATAAGTCACTTATGCATACCTGACCCAGAACCACTAGTTGTCATTTCAATCATGGATTTAAGAGAAACACCCCCCAATATTGGGAGATCAGGAGCCTCAGTGCTATCATCACAATTGTAGTGAGGCCGAAGTCGTTGGTGGCGTTGTCTACGCACAGTGAAGATTAAGATGACAAATAAAAGTACGAACAGTACACAAGCTGCTACGGTTGCAGTCATCCAGTTTTCCCAGAGTCCTGGAATGGGATCTGTAGGGCCTGAAAAATGATACAACAAAAAAAGAAAAAGAGGGATAAATATAGTGGCAACTCACATGATCTGTAATAATTTTACATTGGACATAAAGTAAAAATAATTAAGCTTTCCATAAATGCAAAAGCATTGAACAACCTTGTAATTGTTTGTCCAAATCAGTTCACTACACAGACAAGTGATTCCAAAAGTGTACATTACATAAAATCACTGTCAAATGATTTGCTAAGTCATAGCACAACTTTGATGTAAAAAGTTGATACTAAGGTTGATAAAAACTCCACCCCAACCATTTTCACATCATAATTCAATTACAGAGTTTAGGAAAAAGCACCTGGGCGCATGCGTCAAAGCACAAAAAAAAAAAAGGAAAAAAAGGGACATGCAATAACAAACAAGAGCAAATTTCAAAAAAGCTACAATATTAAAAAGAGTATTCATGCTCAAACGTGCACATGCACAATAAATGTGTGGAAGAAGACCAAGGGGTGATGTGCTTACCTCAATATACAAGAAGCTAACATTCCTTGCCTCAGTGTAAAAAAAATATAATTGCATACACAAGTTAGACTACCATATGAATGAATTTAACCATAGAGGTCAGGTTGAAAATTGAATTGATGGTAATTCGGTGTTTCTTGGGCGGAAGAAATGAAATAGCATTTAAAAATCAACAGAGCTTAGAGGGGACCTGAGGCATGAACGAAAGTAAATAATGAACCACAATTTTGATTTTCTAAATAAATCCCCCAGTGGATGAGTAAATTTGTATGTACTTCCTCCCGGAAGTGCTTCCAAAAAGCAAATATTTTCAAAGGCCCCAACACTCACAAAAAGCTGCCTTTCTCCTGCCCTGAAATCCAACCACTGCTTTCCTCACCTTCCCTGTTGCAATAATCAGATTCACAGCACAAGAAGACATATTTGTCGTTTCGGTTATCTCCGACTCCTTGTTCCATACAAACATTCCACTTGGATTCGTTGGCAGGAAAATGATTGGCCTTAGAATAGCACCTGCAGGCCCAACAGAAAACATAAGCACAACCCATGGGCTGTGAATTGTGAATCACTGTGGCCTCCACTTTCTGCACTCCTAGGTTCTTAGAAGGGCAGGCTAACATCTATGCGAGTTGGAGTGCACTGCATCACATGCTTTAGTCTTTTGAAGAAATACTATTTACATTGTGCACCTAAATATGTTGATGAAGGAACAAAAAAAATCTACTGCCATGCAATTTTTACAGAAAAAATATTTTTTGCAGATTGAAGTTGAATGAATAAAACTGGTACTATGGGCAGATTATTTAAAAGGTGTGACGCAAGATCTTGTTATAAGCAATAGAACTACAAAGGAACAAAAGAAGATTAAGACAAGAAAAAGAGATGGTGCTCAAAAATTACAACACAATTGCATTTTTAAATTGGTTATTCAAATAGCCAAGATGAGAGCAAGGATGCACTGTAAAGAGAACAGGAACAAGCAGTACAAAGTGACACCATATACAAGAAACACATGGTCTGAAAGAAGAAAATATAAGGGAAAAATCAGAATAAAGGCAAATGACTACACATGCCAGCAGTGTGTTCATGCAAAAGATCATGCTGTTTCTTAATAAACTTGGTATATCCACCACCTGTTAAGGCACTCTCCTAAAATCTTTAGGAACACAAAGTTGGGAAACAGCACCAAAATATAAAACAACAGAAGTGCTACCAATAATAATGTGCATCACTAACAACAGCTAAGGTGTGCTCTAAGCAGAGCTTCCAATCTTCACATAGAAGACAAGATGTTAAGTGAAAAATTACAAACAATAAGTGAGAACAGGCAAAGAAGAATATGATAAAACAACCAGGAGAGGACACAGAAGAAGTCTACTATTTAATTTTGGAATGTAACACAGCAACCTACCTTTCTTCAGTTCAATGGGTATAGTCAAGTTTTTATTACAGTAGTCGAAATCCTTGCAACATTTTATGCGATGTGTGCCTCTAGGAGTGTTGGCATAGTGGCATAAGAGGGGGTTATCGGGAGGAGACACCTGTTGTTTGTCCAGGCACCTGCATAATAAACACACGCAACACACCAAAAAATTATTAGCTGCACACACACACACACACGCACACACACTGCCACACGCGCAGGATCCTCATTATTAGGCACAAAAAACATGGTGGGGACATTTGGGTATGACAGCACCACATGCAAGCCGGGTTTGAGGCAGCTTTACAGGATACAGAAATTGACCTAAATATTTCTTAATAGACAATCTACACATGACCTGTCCTCACAAACTGGTCAAGAATGTTCAAGCAAGCAATGTTCCTTCCTATGTAACTTCTGTTTAAACTTGATAAAACAAAAAAAAAGTATGAGAACATTGCACTTAAACAAGTAAAAAACTAATCTCAATACCCTTGAAATTATCTAAAATGATCAGAAATACTCCCAAAACCCCGAAAGGACTATCCATGAATACTGATACAATGATTTCAGGAATATGATTACGGATAAACCGGCTCAAGGAAAAGCTCTGAAGAAGTAAATGAAACAGTACACTACAGACCAAACTTTCTTTGACTGGGACTGGGACTGTGACAATAGAGCTGGGGAAAAACACAAACAATTAATTGGCACACAAAAGAAAAAGAGCAAAAATAAGCAGATCAGATACTGGAATACAAAAACAAAAGGTTAATTTTTATCTTTTTGATAACATGAAAGATAAATATCACTGCTCATCTTTCAAAACTGTTACACATAAAGGAGTGCATTCCACGTCAGTCATGCTTGAGAACACGTTTCAGGCGCAGGTAAACCCTGGAAGTCAGTGGTAACTCAGTCGTTCCAGAAAACTGTTAGAAAAGTTCTAAAAGAACAAACCATATTTAAGGGGTTAAAAAGCCGAAGCTTACCTGACCCAAGTAATGGAGGAGATACAGTGCTCAGAACAGGATCTAGTGCTTTGTTGCAGAAATCCGTCCAATTACAACACTGTGATATCTCTCCAGGTTGTTGACGAATGCACCATTTAGGGAATTCCGGAGGGAAAAACGTCACTCTATTCAGACATCCTGACCTAATACCACATAAATTAAGGTACTTAATCTTTCCAACTTTTGATAACCCCAAATTGAAACATAGATTCAGAAGCACCCAAATTGTAATGACTTTTAAAAATCAGGTTTAAGTAAAAGTCATCAATCTAAAACAATAATTTGAGGAAGAACAAAACATGAGGAACACAAACACTGAAAATTAAATTTTAAAAATAGATGATGCAGACCAAGATCTTGGACAGGAAATAGATGGATGCTGGATCTGCTGTAAATAAAAGTTTTATATGTTGATATTAACAAAATTTTACACTCACCGGAATGCCTCGACCAGCGTACCAGTGCTCTTCTCATACGACTTAGAAGCAAAGCAGTAACCATCTGTCTCGCATGTTAAATCTGGACATATGTTGCAGTAACATAGCAGGCCTGAAAAAGATGAAAGAATGAAAACATGATTTAAAACAAACTACAACAATAAAACAAAATAAATGAATGGTTGGATGGGAACAGCTAAAGGCAATGAACCCCATTGAATAAGATGCTTGATCCTTATCACAGATCCTCATTAGATATTAAGAACGGACTGGTAACAGAGTGCATGTAAAGACTTGAGTTGATTGAACAATATGGGAGTTGAAGTCACCTTGTTCCGCGCGTGCGAAACTACCCCACACAAACATGCTATTCGGGGAATGGAAGACGAGACGAGACACCCCCATTGAATAAAGCCATAACCCTCATTTATAATGCATGGAGAACTGTGAGGCGTGTAGGATCTTAAGGTTCCTGGGGTACTCTGGCATCAAGTCATGTGAAATACTGATGGCACACATGACCGATTTGAGATAGATTCAGGTAACAACAAAAATAAACTTAGCCTACACCTGCCTACTCACCATTTGCCGCAGCAAGGAGCACATAAATAAAGCCCAAAACAACAAGGGGCTTGGGCACTGAAGACGACATTGTAGCAGTCGCTGTAATGTCAACACCTCAAAGACTATGGGGTAATTCCCATGTTTTTCAAAATTTCGCAATAATGAGCATTCGTCTTCTTATTTTGCAAGACGAACTATCGGCTGCCTTTAGGCTCTCGGCTTACGCCATACTACCAGTTTGCTTTTTCCCTTCTGCAATCGACACTTCCCATCTCGTTGGCTAAAACTCCACCCTCTCAGATGAGTAATATTGACCATCTAAGTAGAAAACAGCTTAGAAAGACTGTATTTTCTGCGTTTTAGATGTGCAAGTTCGGCCTGAGAGCATAGATTTACATCCATTCATAACGAAACTTTAACTTTTTACGTTGGCTTGAAGGAAATCCCAACTCAGCCAGTTGTAGAAGGCGCTGATTCTCTAAGAAGAACAATAACAAGTAAACAAGTGCTGAAAAATTATTCGCAAATCGAAGAAAGAAAATTTGTGTTGTTGGGTTGATTTAAGTCAATTTCCATTGGAAATAATTTAGATGAGTGACTCAAGTGTGTTCCAAAAAAGAGCTGGAAGCCGATCTATCAGCCAGCTGTAAGCTCCGGCATTTGCAACACTTCGTAGGCTCTTTCTCAGAAGAGCGAATCACATTAGGGGAATTTTGCTGTCCTCTTACAGTACTTTTCGATGGTTTTGCTGGTAAGTAAGTAATTAAGTTTTGAACAAGTAACTCACTGTGGATTCATGAAGATTGAATCACCGCTTTCCTTGCAATGCCCTAGTGTGCAGAGTAACACTTTCCTTTTAATTTGTGGTGACATGTCAGTGGGTCCTTAAATCCCTGTACTTTTATCACTTTTCTTTGTGAGTGGTTTTCTTTAACATCGCAATTGGTGAATGAAACCATAACTCTGGATCTTTGCTTTGGTGAGAGGAGAACATTTTGTCATCTAATTTGACAGAGCAGTCTATTGACAAGCGGAATTGAATTACATAGGGCACTTTTCTCAAGTTTTTAGGTTACCGTAGCTTTTCTTACATGCAGTCAAAATTAGTATTTGTTAGTGAAAGTGACTCTTTACTTTATTTCTTTGACCATTTATTTTGAATTTGTCTTTTTCTGTGAAGGCTTCTGTGTCATATTTGTTGCTTACTGTACAATATCTTTAACCAAAGGGTACAGTTGACTAGTTTCTGTTTAATTGGTTTTAAGAATCATTCTCAGAGAAGAAATTGGGTTTCTTCCTCTGAAATTTTAGTTTATTATGAAAAGGTGACCAAGTTCCTAAATTTTGTTTTAAATTTCAGTTTGGCCGCATTTTTCCGATGGATGGATGAGAGAGTCAAAGTCTTGTCTATGATAATCTGAAGACCACCATTATCTCCATTTGGTTGACGACTAGGTAAGCAACATTCGCCACAACTCTAGTTTATTTATTGAATCATTTCCTCGTGCATCTATGCACCAACTAACTATCCTGCATTATATTTTTGAAGATGCAAAGTTAAATGTGATGCACAATTTTCAATGCGTTACATGCATTTAAATAAAATGTGTTCGTATATGGGTGATTAGGTTGTATCTGCAATCGAAGTGGGGCTTTCTCACAGTCTAGGACTGTAAGGTGTCCTTCACTGGATGAATGTGGCTTGGCATGCAAGATGCACATGCTTTGCACCACGTGAGTGAGAGATGCACAGAATGAGTGAGTGCTGGTATTGTGTCGGCAGGCAAAGGAGCGGAGATGGCTGGGGAAGTGTCGCGGCCTGACGCTGGCGCTATGACAGGTCAGTTGGTGTGTACTTGTATGAGTGGACGCTTTGTATTGTAGCAGCTGGTTGTTCTGGCTCTGGCTTGAGCCGAAGAATTACTGTTAAGTAGTGTGATTAAGTTTACGTTTGAGGCCGGAGCATTGTGTGCAGGAACGTTCTGGGATTTGAAAGCATAACCTTTGTGTCTCTGTGAATCTGCAGTGGCTGTACATTGTAGTGGCTGCATGTGTGAACGTATAGCACTGTCGGTTCGTTTCGCATGCATGCCGAGTGTGGAGGCAGGAGGATGCAGTGAAGGGACAGACGGGCCGTGGCGGAGGCAGTGGTAGTGCCAGTGGGAGTGAGAGGGAAGGTGGTGCCCCACTTCACTTCCACTCGCCACTTGCTTTTGCGCTTTGTCTCTCTCCCCTCCAGCTATCGGTCGCTTCTTCGCTCGGCCCGCTTATCTACTGGTCATACGCAAAACAACGAGTGGGGCTGATTCCGCACTCGGCACGTACAGTGCTCCGAGTCTCTACCACGACGCGACGCCCCGCCAGTGCGAGGGAAACGAAGCGACGAAGTAACGAGCAGCCTGCTGCGGTGCTGCGGTGGTGGCGGCCAGGGAAGTCCACCGCGCGGTGCGCCATTTGCCACCACGTGGGTCCGTTCGAACGCGGTGACGGCCCGCCGTGACAGGTCAGCTTGCGGGGGTGACATGTGCCGTAGGAGGGGGGGGGGGGGTCTGCAGCTCCCCGGCCCCTACCGCCACTACGCTGCCCTACCCAGCTTCTGCCACTGCCACCTCGCGGCAAGGGGAGGGCCCAGGGCAGGGCCCCGCCGGCCCCACCCCGCTGACAACCTTGATAGCACCACGTTCTGGCGCACCACCCCGCCCCCGCAGCACCCCGTCCTGCGCGCGCCCCGCCCCGCCCCCACCCGCACTGCTGCCGGATGGCCTGACCTTGTAGAGGAACAGCTTTTTCAGGAAAGTATTGACAAACAGCGGGTGGCCGCCGTAGGGTAGGGCTCGCCACCGCCGCCACCTCGCCGCGGTGTTCTCTGCCCGTCCGTTCGTTCGCCCTTTAGGTCGTCCTGTGTCCGTCTGTCCGTCCGTCCGTCCGTCCGCACGGACTTCCATCCCGTTCGTGACGTGACGAAGCTCGCGGCCCGCGCTGGCCGGCAGGCCGGGCAGTCGGAGGCTGCGCCCGGCAGCGCCTGGCAGCGCCCTCGTGTTACCACTACAACTGTATTGCAACAAAAAGGCGAGGCGAGGCAATTATAGAGGGCGCCGCCCCGGACGACCGGCCGACACTGGCCGACACCGCGAGCACGGCGAACATCCTCGAGAGCGAGTCCGCGGCCGTGCTGGCGGATCCGCGGGCATCCTAGGGGATTCGCGGCCACGGCGGCCACCCTTCTCCTCCTTCCCGATGGCCGATCGATGGCATCCTTGCAGGCCTTGCAGGACACGGAGCAGATAGCTCCAGCGAGATCCACTCCACCACCGGGATGGCTGCGCTCGCTCGCTCGCTGCGCTGGCCAGCCGGGCGTCGTGATCGCGCCGCCTCGCTTGTCCATCCGTGCATGGCGATGCCCCGCCGGAGCCGCGGAGCCGCGGCCAGCTTAGCCGCGGGCACGCCGTGTACGGCCGCAGCGCCGCGCCGCCGCAGCTCATGGCGGTGTAACGGTGTAACGCAACGCGTTGCCAATGCCCCGACCCACTTCCTACCGCGCGGCGCGGCGCGGCACGGCACGGCACGGCATGGCGCGGCACGGCACGGCGTGGTCCGGCTGCACCGCGAAGATGCACGGGATGATGCTCGGGCCAGTTGATCGTGACGCGTGAGCCGTGAGAAGCTTGCCGGCGGCGCTTGTCCCCCCACCGCCACCGCCTCCCCCGCGTGGCCCCGAAGTGCCCCGGCGTGCTGGCCGTCGTCGTGGACCCGGGCAGGCCGGGCAGGGCGTCGCGTGGGCCAGCAGCGAGGCGAGGCGAGGCGGCGTCTCTCGGACGGATGGATGGACAGACCCGCGGAGAAAAACGTTTTCGCCGCGCCGTGAAGCAGCAGGGCCAGCAGGGCCGGGGAACGGAACGAAAAGAGAAGAAAGAGAAGGGGAGGGGAGGGGAGGGGTGGCGCCAATCCCGCGGGACGGGCCGTCGGGTCGGGTCGGCCGGCCCGGGGTTGTTAGCGTACTCTTGGCCGAGTCGTGCCCCAGGCGCCCCAGGCAGCCCCAGGCAGCCCCGGGGCTGTTGTTGGCAGTTTGTTCCTTTGTTGGTACCGTTGGCCTAATTATGAGACTGGCCCTTTGTTCCCGGGAGGAGGATCCGGGAACGCGGAGCAGGGGGCGCGGAGGGTCCCGGGGGACGCGGCGCGGCACTGCCAGGGCACTGCATGCACAGCACGTGGCCACGTGGCCGGCCATCGATCGCCATGACAAATGCACACGAGTGCACGCGAATGCCGGTGGAGTATCGAGCACGTCGCTCCGTCTCTCTCACACTCACGCGGTGTCGCGTAGGTGTGCGAGAGAGACAGCGACTGATTCAGCTCGCGCCGCACTGCGGAGTGTGCAGCCCCTCCCCTCCCCCCGGGCCTTATGGTCCAGTGGCGTAGGAAATATGCTATTGTTGTCTCGAGCCGCTGCAGTCCCCCCTCCCCCTCCTCCTTCTCCTCCTTTCCGCGCACCACTTGCTCCTCGCGGCCCCGCGATGGACGCCGCCGCCGCGGGGAGACGCCGCGGCCGCCGGCGACGAACTGGTGCAGAAAGTTTCGGCTTGACTTGGTGTCCACGACGACGGAGACGTCGACGACGCGGAGCGTCCGGGTGGAGTAATGCGACTTATTTGTGCTCGCCGGCGCGGTGAGCCCCGCCGGGCTGGACGGGCAGCGCCGCGGGGGCGGGGCGGGGCGGGGCGACGGCGACGGGCAATTAGGTGCCAATTTCGTTTGAAAGGAAACAACAGGAAAGCGGCGCCGCCTTGTGTTTTGTTTTTGTTGTCTTGTTTGCCCGCTGTCGCGCTGTCGCTGGCTGTCGGCTGCAGGCTGCAGCGGCCGGCCCGCCGCTCCGGGGCGGTGCGCAGGGTTGCCTATCCGCCGCGCGACGGGCGTCCCTGGCCGGGCCGGGCCGGGCCGCCGGGCGACCCCCGAACCGAATGAAACCGGCTGCTCATCAAGCAGGCCCTGCCCTGGCCTGCCCTGCCGGCCCCCTCGCCAGGGCCAGGGCCGGCGCGTAGCGCGTACGCTTGGCCCTTACATCGACCGCTCCCTTCGGGCTTTGCTCGCTTTGCTTCGGGCCGGTCAGGGCCGCTCTGTTTGAACTGCGGCCGGCTGGCCTGGACTCGGGCCTGCCCCGGCCTGCCCTGGTTCGGTTCGCCTGGTTTCGGCACCGTCTTGGAAGGCCTACATTGTTTGAAGCGCGCCGCCGCACCACGGTGCAATATACCTCGCGGTGTGTAATCGTTTTATGTCCCGAGAAGTCTTTGACGCTCCGCGAAAAAAAAAATGGCGGCCGGGCGGGGGGAGCTCCGCAAAAGAAGAAAACGAGCGCAGAGAAAGAAAGAAGGAAAGAGTAACAACGAGTGTTCGTCTTGTTGTTTCTGTTTCTGGTCTCATTGCGCGCGGTCAAGTTTTATTGCGTAAGCCCGGCCGGGCCTGGCGTTGCTGCGCCTTGGTGGCGTGCGCTGTCTCCGTCCCGCTGCAGCGCTACCAGTGGGCCAGTCGGCGTGACCGATACGGCACGGCCGTGAGTCACGACAGCGGAGCCGAACGGCGCCTGTCTCTCTCGCACCCCCACGCGCCGCCCCAGGTCCCCCAGGTGTGCGAGAGAGACGGGTCGATGAAAGCCCCGTCCGCAACGCGCTAGCTCTGGGCCCTGTCGTTCGGGACGCCAATGGGGCGCTTGCAAAGCATTGCGAGAACGCGACGCGAGGATCGAGTGCGCTTCCGAGCAGCGACACGCGCGGCACTGGCCGCGGCGAGGGCGGGAACAGTTTGCTCTGTTTTCCATTTTTTTCTCCCCTCCGTTTTTTGCGTGTGTTGCGGGCGACTATCGTGAGTGTGAGTCATTGTGTGTGCGCGCACCTGGCACCTGGTCGGGGGCCTGCCCGCCCCCCGCCCGCCAGTCACTGACTGCTACTCGAACTGGCGACACTATGGCTGGCTCGCGTCGCCCGCGACTGCTGCGCGCGCTCAGCGCTCCGCCGCGCCGCCGGCCGACTCTTTGGCCGTGCCGCCGTGCCGCCTGCCTCGAGCAACAACAGGATGTGCCTCGGCAGCGAGCCGCGGCCCGCAGAGCGGTGTGGTGTGTCGCACGCAGGCGGCGCGGCCAGTGTCCCGGCCAGCGTCCTGGGGCCTGGACGAGGGCGCACCAGGGCTGCTGCGGGGTGCAGTGGTCCAGCGCCGTGGTGCCGCCTGGCGCAGCCGCGCGCGCAGCCCAGAGAAAACCAGAAAAGTCGAAATGATGTCGATATGATCTCTATGTGAGCGATTTTAGTCAAAACGCGGTCCATTTTGACGTCAAAGTGACGTCATTGAACGTCCTGCCGACGGCCGGGCTGGGCGACCAGCGCAGCGCTCGGCGTGTGGCGGAGTCTGCCTGCCGCGGCCTGACGTCCCGACGCGACGTCCTGGCGGCCTGACTCACTGACTGATGGACACACGAATTCGTCAAGAAAAGACTTTGGCGGGTCGCCCTCGTCGCTCTCCCGGATGGGCAGAGGGGGGCCGAGCGGGGCACAGCGCAGCGGCCCAGCCCAAGGGGCACGGCGGGCACGGCGGGCAGCAAGCGGCCCGGCCCGTGCCAGCTGCTTTCCCCTCATTGTACTTGAAAAGGCTGAGGCGGGGCCGAGGCTGCGCGGCACGGGGCGCGCCAAGGAGGTCCTCGCGCTCCCTCTCTCTGCCCCTCTCTCTCCTTCGCGCAGGCAGGCCAGCCGGCCGGGCGGAACTGCGCGGGTCAGGTCGGGGCGCCGCGCGCCGAGCGCAGAGCCCCGCAAATACAATGCGGCCCGGCCCGTCCTGGCCCGGCCGGCCGGCATCCTGGCACGCGGGGCGGGGCGGCGGGGCGGCCCACAATGCTCCACAACATGCACCTACCAAACGCCCAGCACGCCCAGCGCGTTTCACTCAAGCTCATAACGCGACACTGCGACGTGCCGCTCCGACCGGGGCCGCGCTGACCACGCCTCCGCCCGCTCCAGCCTGCTATCCGCGGCCGCGGCGCACAATGAGAGCGTGTTCGTGTTGTTGTTGGCGGCAGGGCGGCCGGCGCGGCGCACTGTGTGGCGGTGCCGCGGTGCCGGCGAGCCGAACAAGGCGATAAAAGAGATTCCGGGTCGCGACGCGACGCGACGCGATGGCGCTGGCTCGGCCCAGCTGCGCGGTGCGGCGCTGCCGCCGCCGGCCTGCCGGACCGCTCCGCGCTCCGCTTCCTACATTGGTCCCTAAAACGTCGCACGGCCGCCGGATCGGTCGCCTCATCGCTCTGTCTCTGTCGCACTCGCGGGGCCTTCCGTCGCGCGCACCGCGGTGCGAGAGAGACGGGGCGACGAAACGGGCCGGGCTGGCCGGGCTGGCTGGGCTCTGCACGTGGAGCAATAAAAAAGGCCGGCCGCTGTTGTTTTCCGGGATGCTCCGTCCTTGGCGCTGACGTCGCGGTGACGTCCGCCCTGGTCGTCGATACGGTGACGGCGTGCTGCATGGCGCGGCGTGGCGTGGCGCCTCCCTCGCTTTCCCTCCTTATCCCCTGCACTACGCTCGTAGGCCGACTGGCTGGCCCGTGGGCCGCGGGCCGTAGTTAGCGGTCGTGGTTATTGACTGTACCGCCGCCGGACCCGCTGCCGCCTCTTTCCGGAATAGCGTTTCGTCGCTCTGTCTCTCTCGCACGCATGGAAAGTCCCCGTGCGTGCGAGAGAGACAGAGCGACGAAACGGTTCTTCGGAATCAGGTGGCCGGTACCCGGTACTCGGTCACGACGGCGATGCGAGGCGGCCGAGGCGCGTGCCCGGCGTGCCCGCGGTGGGCCGCCCGCCCGGCCCGGCCCGGCCCTGCACTGTGACGGCCTGACGGACGGACTCCAGGGACGTGACGAATGCCTGGATTTGCCAATTTGTTGGCAATTACGTGCGGCTCCCGCCTCATTCCATTTTTTTCGTGCCGCGCCGTGCCGCGCCGTGCCGCGCCGTGCCGCCGTCGGAGGAAAAGGCGGGCCTGGGCGCGGCTGGAGGCGCGGAGGGAGCTCCAGCACCGCCAGCGCCAGCACCGCCGGCACCGCGGCCGGCGAGAAGCCCTCGACCGCAAAGCGCTGCGCGTATCGCTGCCGCGAGGAAGGAACCGGCGGCCGCGCCATGCGGCGCCATGCCGCGCCATGCGGCTCTCTTTCTCTCTTCGTCCCTCGCTCGACCTTTGTTTGCTGATAGACAATGTTTTCTCACCTCGGACCTCGCGGCCGAGCTTAGCCGCGCCGGCCAGCGGCTCCAGGACTCCCGTTAATCCCTCTTAAATCCCCCCGGTGTTTGTCCTTTTCTTTCGGCCGGACAGCACGGCCGCCCTTTGGGCCCTTTGAGCCCTTTGGGCCCCTTTCCCTTCACAGCGCGGCCGGCCGGCCTGTCCCTGTCATTCCCTCGCCCTGCGGCCCTGCGGTGTGGCAGGTTCCGTCGTTCCGTGAGCGGCGCAGAGCGGCGCAGAGCGGCGCCGGCCAGCGACCAACGGCGGCCGCGGCCTGGACAGCCAGTCCGGACGGCGGACAGCCCGGACAGCCTGGACAGCCTGGACAGCCGGCCCGGACGGACGGACGGACGGACAGGCGGCCGGACGGCCACTCTGCGGCCCATAAATAAGGAACAATTTGAGCCGGGGGTTCCGTTTTGTTGGGGGGAGGGGGGGCGACACTGCTCTCTTCCACTTCCTCTTTCGCGCTCGATCCGCTGGCGTCGCGTCGCGTCCCTTTTCCTCGGTGTGCATGCAGGCAAGGCAGGCAGGGCAGGCAGTGCAGACCGTCGCCGTGCACGTCCTGCGGTCCTTGCCTGTAGTTCTCCCCCTCCCCCTCCCCCTCCCCCTTTTCCCCACTGCCAACGCCCCGTCGGCGTGACCCCATAAACTGTGCGGGCATGGAGACTGGCTGCCGCCCTTCCCCTCCCCTCCCCTCTCGTCGCCTAGCGTCACTTCGCCGCGCGGCGTGCGTAGCGCGGACACGGCGCGCCGGCCTGCTGGCGGTGGCGTTTGGCGCGGTGGTCGGCCGGCGCTGTTTTGCGTTTTCAGCTGTCGGGGCCCTCGGGCTTCGGGCTCGGGGCCCTCTGGCCTGCAGGCCTTTGAGGGCAAGTCCGTGCCCGTGTGCCGGACGGCGTGGCGGTGCGGTGCGGTTCGGTGCGGTTGGGGCACAAGGCCTCCACGACGTCGAAGGGGGCGAGGAGGGGGGGAGGGGGGGCAGGGGGTGCCTTCTAGCGCCGTCAGCAGGTAGCGGCGTGGTGGTGGCGGCGGCGCGGCGTGGGGGCGTGGTGGGGCCGGCGGGCCCGGGGGGGGGGGGCCCCGCGCCCCGCGCCCCGTGGAGAGTGGCGAACAGGCGAACAGCTGCTCAGTGACCAAGCCGCAGCGCTGCGGAGCGGTACGGGCCGCTGCAGTGTGCTGGCCCCGGCCGGCCCCCCAGTGCACCGAGCACCGCGACAGCGTGACAGCCTCGCGAGCAGCGCGCCCGCGACGCGAGTGTCAGTGTGTGTGTGTGTGCGAATGTGAGTGAGGGAGGGTGGTGTGGTCGGGTGGTTTTTGTTTCTTGAGTGGGCTTCGGCGCCACGCCACGCCACGGCCATGGCTGCATGGCCTCTGCGCGGCGTGCGGTGCCACCCCGGCTCGCCGGCGCAGTGATCTCCTCGCTGTACGGCCAGGGGCCCTGGGCCTCCCCGTGGGGCTGGGCCAGGCCCTCCAACAGCGCGTCCTCCACCGCCACCTCCAGCAACAACAACAACGCCTCCTGCGACGGCGGCGGCCGCGGCGCGCGCTGCAGCTGCCCCGATGCGTCGTCGCACGCCTCGCACGCCACCAGCGCGACGTGCGTCTCGATGAAGGCGGAGGCCAAACCCGCCGGCAGGGCCGTCCCGGGCATGCTGCGACGGGCATGGCACGGCGCGAGAAATGGCAAAGGTAAACCGCGCCGCGCGCGCCGTGCGTGTGAGAGTGTCAGTGTGGTGGTGTGAAGCGAGGGAAGGTTGTGCTGATGCGCGCGCGACCGTGTGAGAGTGACCGTACGTACGTGCGATGACGTTCTCGTGTGTGTGTGCGTGTGTGTGGGTGTGTGTGAGAGAGTCCCACGTGGACAGTGGGTCGCGTGCCGCCGTGTGAATGTGCCGCAGTGCTGTCCGTGTGGCGTACCGTGGCCGCCCCGCCCCGCCCCGCCCCGCCTCACCCGGACTGGACTACATTGGACTTGGCCGTGCTGGGGCATGGGGGCGCCGGAATGCCCCCAGCGGGGCGGTCTAGTCTCACTCAACTGGACGGGCACGAGGCGACCGGGCAGGGACTAGAGTCAGAGTCCAGGACGAGTGGACTGGAAACTTGCAAACGGAGCAAGAGCGGGGCAAGCGGAGGCGGCCTCAGTGCTGCCTGCCGCGGCGGTGCGGCGGCCCGAGAGAGGCGCCCCGCCGGAGCAGTCAGGCAGCCAGGCCGCCAGGCTGTACTAAACTACACGGCCGGGCTGTCCCGCTCTGAGGCGTCACGCGTCCACTGTGGCAGAGCGCGGTGCCGCGGTGCCGCGACCGGGCCAATTTTCTGGATTTCAGAGTCCGCTGGGAGAGCGTGCTCGGGGAAGAGCGAGGAGCGTAAATGATTCTGCGGGACGAGGACGAAGACGGACTCCAGGACGGAGTGTCGCCGTGGTGGGGCCGAGGCGCGGGGCGCGGCCTGGAGACGGCCGAAGCTGAAATTGCGAGCCGACAGAGCGGGGCCTGGCCAGCCCAAGCCAGCCCAAGCCAGCCAGGCGGCCGCCAGGCCGGGCTGTGACACAATGGAATGACTTGTGGTTTGTTTCGTCGGCCCCGGCTCGGCTTGGAGTCGGAGTGGCTAGGCCCAGGCACGGCCTCGGTGGATGGATGGTGGATGGACCCGCCGACGCTGACGCCATCCTGGACCCTGGCGGGGACCCTTTTTGCTGGCGTCGTCTCGCCCGGGCGGCCGCCAGCCTGCTGGGTAGGCAACCGCTGGGCGGCTGACGACAGCGGTGCCCGGGGGTTGCCTACCCTCGGGACGGCAGGCGCCTCAGCAGGCGATATGATATCCTGGTCGGCCTGCCTGCCTGCCTGCCTGCCTGCCGCCCGCGACGCCCGATGGCGACGCCCCCGCCTCAATTAGCCAGCCAGTTAGCGGCAGGTCGCGAGAGTCGCGCGAGAGTCGCGGGCCGCGGCGAGGCTCTCGATGGAGACGGAGATGAACCGCGGGCGACCGCGAGGCTCGTGATGCAAGCTTGCGCTAGCACAGCAAGCGCAGCTAGCCTCCCCTCCACCCTCCCCTCTCGGTAAAAGCCGCGTCGTCCATCGATTGGATTCGTCTCACAGACGGATTACTTGTCTGCGAGACACGCCAGGCCGAGTGCTGCAACCACAACGGCCACTACGCCATCCGCGCCGCGCCACGCCCCGACGCCCCCGCAGAAAACAGACGACGGCAATCGTCACAGCCCAATAGATTCGGCTGCCCGGCCGACAACAAAAAGTTGTTTTCGTGTCGGCCCGCCGGCCTGCCTGTGCGGCGCAGGTTGGCGGGGCGGGCGGGACCGCGGCGTGATGGCGTGGTGGCGCGGTGCGGGTTGCCTGCCGCCGAGTGACGAGTGTGCTGATCCTCGGCGTTGATCGGCGGGTATATCGCGACGGCGCAGTGACGCAAGTCATCGGCCGCCCTGCTCCGCCTTGCTTCTGCTTCGCCGCGCTTGTTTTCGCCTCGGCCACGATGCCTTCCGCGCGTGCGGGCGTGGCGGCGTGGCGTGGCGGCCTCGCCCGCGCCGCCGAGAAGGCCGGGAAGCACGTGTGTGTGACGAGTGCGGAGTGCGGAGTGCGCGACCCGCCCGCCCGGCCCGCTGTGATAAGTGCGGGCGGGAAGAGGAAGAAGAGGGGGTTCAATGGCAGCTGGGAAGCGGGACGGTGGCACGGCGGGCCGGCCGCGGCGCGGCGTCCCCCGCCGGTAAGCGCGCGGCCCGGCCCCCTGGCCCCCCCGGCCCCCCGGCCCCTCGTGGGTCGTGGGTGCCGTCCCGTCCCCGATCGGCCCTACGCAGCTGTGTTGCCCCTCCCCCTCCCCCTCCCCCTCATGGAAGCGCGTGATGTGTGCGCAATATGAGCCAGCCGGGTCGGGCCCGGGCCGCCTGAGCATGGCCTGCATGGCCTGCCTCGGAAAGTGTGCCGACTCGACTGTGGTCGGCCGGCCCGGCCCGGCCCGCCGGGTTCCGTCCCGTTCCCTCGCTGTGGTATTCTGCTCGCCTCCTTTCCTTGTCGGCGTGCTTCTCGCCGCCGTGGTGCTGCTGCTGCGGCCCAGCGGGGCTGTGGGGGCGGCGGCGGCGGCGGTGCTGCAGCACGTCCGCGACGACGACGTGACGCTTTTCACCGATTTTCGGGGCCAGCGTCTCGTAAACGGTAAACGGCGAGAGGCGAGGCGCGGCGCGGCGCCGAGCGCGGGATGGGGCGACGACACCACTTTGAAATCGTGCACGGATGTCGAGTTGCTGGCCTCCACTTTTAGTTGGTCTCGGCTGGCTGTTTTGACTGCGAGTCTCCGCCGATTGTCTCGACGCTTGGAATCCGGATTTGCGCCCCCCTCGCGCGAAAGAAGCGCGTATCCGGGCGGCAGAGCGGCGGCGGCACCCTGGAAGTGAAGGAGGGAAGTCCCCAAGTCGCAGTGTAACGTGTAACCCGGCCGTTTTCGTTTCCGGCTGACACAATTTAGAGCAGTCGTTGTTCTCTCTCTCCTCTCCCGGCCTGCTCCGCGCCGAGGCCGCGCAGGCGCTGCAGGCCGCGCTGCAGGTGCAGCGGGCGTGAAGGTGCAAGGGCGTTGCCCAAGCGCGGCGGCGACGCGGCCACGCACTAGAAGAGGGCCGTGTGCGTGGACGGACGGCCCGCCATTAATGCGGTGCCGCGAGTTGATTTGAGCAGCCCGGTCGAAACAAACAAACAGAGCTAGCGCGCGGCGCGGTGCGGTGCGGGCCCGCACAGTGGGCCAGAAGACCGGTGAAGGCGGCCAAAACCCTAGACGCGTTTTGAGCTCCAGAGTGGCTAAGCAGGACTCGAACCGAACGTGTGACCCCACCAATGGATTCCTCGTTCGGAGAGCAATCCATTGGTGGGGTCACACGTTCTGTTCGAGTCCCATTTAGCGACTCTGGAGCTCAAAAACCCGTCTAGAGTTTTGGCCGCCTCCGCCGGTCTTCTGGCCCACTGTGGCCCGCCTCGGGTCAACGAGGTTAGGTGTGCTCGGCAGCGACGCAGCGACGCGGCTCGAGAAGCAACCTGCCGTCCTTCCGTCCCGGCAGTCCCGGCCTGGCTTGGCCTGGCTTGGCTTGGCAGCGGGGACCTCCCTGCCGGGTAAAAATACCCCCGACCACTATCGGCTGCCCGCGCACCGCCCTTCCCCGCGCGGCGTGTGTCCGAGGAAGCGTCAGCTTGACGGCCCTGCCGAGCGATTCCGCGCAGCGGCTTGTGCAGCGGTGTCGTCGCCCTCGTCTCTCTCGCACTCGCACGGGGCGCCACCTCGCACTGGCCCTGCGAGAGAGACAGAGCGGTGACAGCCTGCTTCGCGTTTCCCAGGCCGCACTGGAAAACTGCCTTCGCTATCGTCGCCGAGCCTCCGCTGCTGCTGTCCCTCTCGCTCCCTTACGGGGCGCCGCCTAAGTGCGAGAGAGACAGCGAGGCGAGCGCACTGTTCGTTGTTCGGAATGATGAGCCTGCAGGCCGCGGCCGTCGGCGGCGCTGGACGGGACGGCCACGCACGGCCTCTCTGTCCCCTGTTCGCTGCGTCGCCGCGTCGTCGCCGCATTCGTGTTCCCCGCGCACTCGTTCCGAGAGTCGTTTTCGTCGCTCTGTCTCTCTCGCGCCTTTACGGGACGCCCCGTGAGTGCGAGAGAGACAGGGTCTGCTGTTCCCACCGCGCTCAGCGAAGCCAGCGAAGCGACCGCGATGTCCCGTGAGGTGCTGGCGGTGCTAGCAGTGCCGCGGACGAGGCTCGGCGGAGGCGAAGCAGGCGAAGTAGGCGAAGCGCTATGCGGATGTGCGGTGCGAACGCGGACGACGCAGCGGAGCCGCGGTCGGCCATTTCTGGAGCATTTCACAAGGCAGGGGCCGGGCGAGCCGGGCGGGCCGGGCGGGCCTAGGAATGTTCGATTCCCTCATCGCCGGCTTCCAGGATGCACGAGGTGGCCGCCCCGCCCGGCTCCCGGCCCGGGCAGGATGTTGGCGCAGGTGCCACGCGAAAGGTTTCAGTGGAGGAAGTTTACGTGAAGCAAGTGTAGTGTGCAGGATGCTCGCCACGCACGCCGAGAACGCCGCGAACGCTGTGGTGAACGACGAGCGCGCTTTTGCAGTGCCCTACCGCGCTGGGCACGCAGTGCATGCATTCGCCGTTGCAGTACTCATGAGTCTCAAACGGAACAACCTACCATTATGATGACTTTTCGCATTCTGTGTGTGTGTGTGCGTGAGTCGGTGATGGCTTCGCCCGCCTCGCCTGTATCAACATCTGGATGTGAAAGCTGCCCCCCCTCCCCCCGCCGCCCACTCAGGGACTCGGTGACTCGGGGGCCCACTGGTGCGTCCACTGGTGCGTCGCCATCGATGAATCGGCTTGGCGCTTGCTTACTAAATGAACCATTTCCAATTCAAATTCATTTATCGCTGTCCCGCGATGGCGGTGCGCAGGGGCCGCCCCGCCCCGCCCCGCCCCGCCAGACAGTCGACCTGACCCACGACTTCGGCGGCGGCGGCGGCGGGACGTCGTCGAGGTGATCTGCGCCCCGCACTTGATTGGGGGCTGGCGGTGAGGCGGCGCGGGACGGGGTTCGAGCGGCTGGTTTGTTTGCAGTAGACGGACTAGAGTGTGTCGGCCTCCCCGCGAGGCCCGCCCAAAGGTCAGCGCGGCGTGGGGTCGCGGCTGTTGGCCGGCGCGCCCTT